ATTGACTCTAAAGAAATTTTAAATTGGCGATTTATTAAAAATATAAAACGTGTCTCGCAAAATTGAAAATCCATTTTTTTTTACACGAAAAAAAAAACGACATAAAATCTACTTAAAATGTTTACTGGAAGTTAGTGAGCATCAATTTCAGATTTTAAACAACATATTATACCACGACCACAGTCATATATATTTACACCGTGGACAAAAGTCTTCTTCCCTGTGAATCTCAGCAGTGATAAGATTCCGCGAATTCTGAACTCTTGAAAAGGTGTAGTAGTGTGTGTGGATCTAGTTTGGATTTCGCTGTACACCCATAGCCACACGCACATTTGAATACTCATGGAAAAGATTGTACCGTTTATTTGCCATCTCGCGTGTTATTTCCGGGTGTAAGACATCATTGTAGTTGTTTAAAGTTTGCGTATAAGCAAAGCGTGATGATATCAAATTCGACTGCTTCAGTTGTAGAACTTGTTCGAGTTCCATAAGTTCAAAACTCACGGAATTCGAACATGTCTCTTGAATCTCAAGATTATACGAAATTTCAGAGCTTATAGCGTTAGCATTGGCTAATTTCCAACAAAAAGTTTTGGTACTCTGTTTTAGTATTATTAAAATACTTTCTATGAAAGAAATATTGTATGCGTGAGTTATTTCTAAGAAGATGTAGATACAATTTTATACTTTAAAAAAATGAATCCTATTACTTTTGTCTTTTGCGAATTAATATTTAGTTTTTGGATGTTATTAGCATTCAATTCTTTCATCTTCTGCGAATCTCAATCATCATGGGGGATAGAAGTCTGAAAATTTGTGTACCCACGCTATCTCATGAATGTAGGTCAATGAAACTATCTGCATCTTGTTTGCTTGAGCAGATGATGAATGGTGTCCATTTCTACTGTGAGCTTCATTAGTCTGGAGGGAAGAGGACGTTGTGAGTCAATAAATCTATCATGATGTAGCTATATGTAATATAAATTTCGTGGAGATTTGTCAAGCTCTTTAAGAATTGTGGTCATATGTGCAGAAAAACTATCTATTGCCTCTCAATACCCATAATTCACTGATAATTAAAGGTTATGAAATTTTCCTATCCATCATAGCTCGGTTTCCACTCAAGCAACCAAAATTTTGATGATGTCTCAGTGACTTACATGCCTGATGGAGTATGGATACACAAATTTTCAGATCTCTAGCCATTAAACTAGCTGAGATTCGATGGATTACGAAGACTTTTGCTCAGAATTATATTTCTATCTGTGAAGAAACTAATATAATGTCTTCAGCATTGAACGAACTATACCAACACAATAGATTTACTTACTCGTTCCTTGAAGATCATAATAAGTATAGAAAGATGTGCCGACATGGCAGTAAAACGTGCAAAAATTCCGTTTGCTGGAAGCATCTGGAAAACAAATATATCTACTAGAAGTTGTTGTGTACAAATTTAATTGAGAAATAAAAATACGAGAAAGAACCTTTTATTTTCATTATAAGATCAAAACGACATCGAAGAAGGCAAATAAAAAAAACCAAACAAACAAACAAATAATATACGGCACAAGGACAAATAAAATGAAATATAATATAAGACACTAGCAGAAGAAAAAAGAACATTAGAGATTCAGACTCTATTGTATAGTGGCTGCCTAAATAGAACCAAATTTGTTTATTAGAACAAATAAAAACAAGCAATTATTATTCAAATCAGAAGAAAAAAAAAAGAAATTCAAATTAATGAGTTGCCAAAAATTGTCTTTGCTGAAAGGAATTAAAAAGATGTAACTGTCCAAATAAAAAAAGAGAAACGTTTAGTTCACGGTAAATTTTGATAATTAGGATCATAAGTAATTTGTTGTTGTTGTTGTTGTTTTTTAGAAAGAAATCCTAAATCAACAAAAAGTATGTCACCATTAGCAGCAATAATCATAATTTGTTTTGTCATTGCCATTGTTGCTGCTTCACTATCTAATTGAAATAATTCTGTTACAATATTATTGCCATCTTGTTCAATTTCAAGTACACGTGACCAATGTTTTTGCCATTGTCCATTAAAATATTTGCCTGATGTCATCGTATCTAATATATAACATTTTTCATTACTTATTGCTTGAACAGAACATGGCCAACGAAGACGTTGAGTTGCTAATAAATCAGCATCAATTATTTTTATTATATTACCAGTATTAGCATCACATATATGAAGTGAAAATGTATAAGCAATACCTAAAATACAGAGATTTTTTTATTTGTTAAATTTTCATAAAAATTCAAATTCACGAAAAATTTAATTTTTCGGCAAAAGCACCCAAAAAAAATAAGCGTTTATAAAAATCACATCGAAAGTATAAGAGATAGGAGTGGTACAAGCGGGTGTACGGTATAGTGGCATAGCATTAGGAAGCGGCCGGGTCTGAACCCAAGGTTTTTTTCATCGATATCTGGAGAGCAGGGAGTTCATAAAAACATGTAACTGAGCCCGACAAAAAATAAAATTATAGACCTGGATCCGAGCTCGAGCGGAACCGAGTCCGAATCTGGAAGGATCCGCAACTTGCTACATAGCGTTATAATCTATATAGCTCTATACCGGGCCTCGAAATGGGCCGCCTGGCCCAGTCCAACGAAATATTTTGTCGGAGCGCCGGTTCGACGATTTTATCCTTTTTTGACATAATCTTTTCTGAGATTTAGCTTACCTTTGAGAGGAGAATAGAGAGAAGCTTCTTCACGCGACTCCTCTTGGTCATCACCTTTTATAAAAGCTGAAAAATATGGAATAGCTGTCTATTGAGAAAAAAAGCCTTTGTAAACGAAGTTTCTTTCGGACCCAGACTGAACAAAAGTTGAATCAGGCCGGGCGAGCCTAAACAATGTTCAGGCCACTTTGGGCTGAGCCGGGCCATTAAAAAAAGTGGCCCAATTTCGAGGCCTGCTCTATATTAGTATATCGCGACACTGCTTATATCCCTATACCGCTTATTACACAATATCGATATAATGCTAGCATCTGTAGATATATTATAGATTAATTTGTTTTAAAAGAAAATCGTTTTGTTGCAATATCAAATTTCTCATCATATTGAAGATTCAATTTTCTTTTCTTTTTTTTTTTGGTAATAGAATTTAATATTCTTATTTAAATCATAGTATCATGAGCGAGTTGTCTATTAATATTTTATAGTGAAATTTTCTTTCACTTAAATTATTTACCTTGATTATAAAAAGGTTTACATGAATGTTCAATAATCATATATAATTTTTGTCCATAAACAGAAATTAATTTTGGTCGAGCTACAAAATATTCAATTGAATATTTCAATTAAAATTAATAATCAAATACCTTCATCATATTGATCGGAATGATTATAAATTCTCCATTGTGTAATAAATTCAAGTTTATCATCAAATTTAATTACACATGAATTACGATAATCACATACATAAACATCTCCACGTATATTATCTGTATCAATACCTAATGGTAAAAATGTACCTGATTGACCACTTGAATCTGTTTCTAAAATAAACAAGAAAATTTTAACTTAAACTAAAATTCGAAAAATTTTCAATACCTTTAACACAATCTAATGTTTGTCCACTATCAATATCAATCATACTTATTGATTCATCATGTGATATATAAGCAATATTTTGTAATTGATATTTTTTTGATATAGTTAAACCACGTATACTTGGTGTTAATGGAATTGTTTTAAGCATATCACCATGTTCATTAAGTATAAATAATTTATTACATATACCTAATAAAATTTTTTTATTATTTTCTGTTATAGCCATAGTTTCAGGTTCTAATGTTGATAAATGATCAATTTTAATATATTTATATGGTACAATATTTGTTGTAGTTTGTTCAATTTGAAATGATGGTGGAGCTGGAGGTAATGGTGGTGGTTGTGGTTGTGGAGAATGAAAACGTCGATGAGATTCTATTTGATTATAATTTACTTGTCCAATTGTATCAGCTGCTATAGCTCGATGTCCTTCAGAAAATTTTAAAGCATTACGTGATTGTTTTTGTTGTTCTAAAGCTCGACGAATATTTCGTATATTAAATTCAATTTTTTCAAGATTATCCCATAATTGTGGTTTATTATTATTTGTATTTGTAAGAGATTTTAAACGTTCTAATTCATTTCCAATTATATTTGTATCAGCAGCTAAATCAGCATAAGCTTTTTGTTGTCGATTATAGTGTTCTGTTATATTTTCATCAAGATTTCCAGCTAAATTTTTAACTTCATTATGTATAGAAGATTCTTTATGATGAATTTGTTTACGTATATCATCATAATCATATTTTAAACGTTTTATTTGTTCATCAATTTCACGTTCTAAACGTTTTTGATCCGATAATAATAAATCAACACGTGATGATACAGCTACTGGTGTTGCTAATGGTGGAGTTGGAAAAATATAATGTGTATCACGTTCCATAGATCTTGATGTTGATCGACGTGTTGGAGTTGATAAACCACTATGAATTTGTGAATGAGCACGTGATGAATTATTTGTTTGAGCAAGTGGTGATGGAATATGGACAGCAGTTGTAAAACGTTCAGTTGATGATAATTTATTCTAGATGTATAAAAATGAAATTATCATTTTAAAATCAACTATTAATATCAAAATATAATGTGTTTCATTGGTTTTTTTTTTAATAAATTTTGATAAGAATATCATGGAGACCTATGGTTTTTATCATTCAAGAGAGAGAACTCGGGACCATCGAAATTCAATTGGTCAACAATTAACCAATCAGTTGAGTTCTTGTTGAAAATTTTTGAAAATGATATTCTAAAGCTATTTTCTTTTTCATTTAAATCTTTAATAGGACTGTTCGATAGAAAAAATTCTTCTCTATCGATCTACGCAAGGCTGACATTTCAAGCCTGTTCTATTCGAGAGTTATAATACTTTCATCTGGCACATCTGATGTCAGCTAATTGACCTATGATCATCTGGAAAAGTGGCTAGGTAGAGTTAATTCATCATGTTAAGTCGAATGATGATATTTGTTCTTTTTTTGGTTCGAAACGATCTGACTTTGTTATCTCAACATGTCCGAAATGTTGACTCCTTCATTATATGGAGGCTGATTTATGGAATTTTAGAAATATTGAAATAATAAAGTTCGATCATTTCAAACTTAACAAATATCATCAATCGACTCAACATGGCAAAATACTTCTGCGTGCCCGATGAGAGGTCAATCAGTTGAAATTAATGGTGTCAGGAAAATTCTTATAATTCTCGAATGGAATAAACTAGGAATGTCGACCTTGTGTTGATCGAAAGAGAAGAATTTTTTCTATCAATTAGTTTTATTATAGATCTAAATCGAAAAGAAAATAGCTTCAGAATATTATTTTCGAAAATCTTCGTCAATAACTTACTGAGTTACACCTATGAGAAAAATTACACAAAGAAATAATTTACTTGATTGGGAGGTATTTGATCATTGGCATCATCAGAAGCCAATGATCGTATTGACGCAACTGATGGAGATTGTGGTTTAATAATATCATCACCAGCAAAATCAATTGTTTGAATAATTTGTAGTGGAGATCGTTCTGATGATCGACTTGATGGTGAAGTTATTGAAGAACTATGAGACGACATTTTATCAGATTGTTGTCGTTGTCGTTGTCGTTGTTGTTGTTGTTCTTGTTTTTGTTGTGGAGTAGATGCAATAGTTGATCTTTGTTGATAAGTATTTATGATTGGTGGAGCTGGAGACTGTCTTATTGTTGAACTACTACTAGTACTACTTTGAATACTATCGGCACGACTATTTTGTCGTGGTTGAACACTAGCATAGGCTGGTGGTTGTATAGGTATTTGATTATTATTATAATCATCATCCTCATCATCAAAATCAGTATGTGAACGAGAAGCAGTTGAAGGACGACTATGTGATTGAGGCAATAGAATTTGTCCTTGTGGAAATGATGTAGGAGTTTGTTGATGTGATTGTTGATTTATAGATGCAATTATATCACGAAGATGATCTACATGCTGTGAACTTCGATCAGATCCTGTAACTGATATTGGTCGTTCAGGTGCTTCCGGTGGATAATGAAGATTTTCTGTTGCTTTATGCCATTGATTTGGAAATGGAGGAGCTACTGGAACAGTTCTAAAATAAATGATATATATATATATTTTTTTTTAAATAACATTTTCTTTTTTCATTCTAAATGAACATACCCATGTACAAGAGTATCCCATGTCATTTCTTCATAAGCTTCTTCACGTGCTTGTGATGGTCGTTTAATAATTTGCTGCTGTTGTTGTTGTGGACGATTTGTTGCTTGTTGAAAAATTCTTACTAATTCATCATTTTTTCCTGTTGACATAACACTTTCACTTCTTGGTTTTTCTTGTGGTCGTGTTGATGTAGCTTCAGAATAAATTCTTACTAAATTTGAAACAATTGGTTGTGCATTTGACATACTCGATGAACGAGATGATCGTGTACTAGTTTTTCCACTAGTACCAGATGATCTACTTAGTACATTAATAAGTGAAGCAATTCCATGTGATTTTGATCCACTTGTTGTTGAATCATGACCATTACTTTCTGCTGTACTTGATTTACGTTTATCTTGTTGATTTGGCATTTGTATTGGTGGTGGTGGTGTTGAACTAATTGATTGATATGTAACAGGTTTTTTAGGTGTTGGAACTGATGTTATAGGTTGAACATTCATACGCCATTGTTGACTTAAAATAACATTACGTGGTAAATCATTCAATTCGATGTCGTCAACCTAGAAGAAAATGCTTTATTTCTCGAATGTAATACTTTTTTGGTAGATTTAATGTTGCAATAAAAAAAAAAAAAAAAAAAAAATTCCAATGAAAATAAGTCACTTCAATACTTTTTCTTCTTTTACTGCTTTATGTTTGTTGATCCTTACTTACGAACATTTTCGAGGACAATTATAAGTATTCTTATCATTTATGTCTTAAATAGGAAGGTCTTTTTTCTTAGTTATTAAAAAGTTTGTTTTTTTGTCGATAGGAAAAAAAAATTAATGCATATAATAAAAAAAAAAAAGGATCACTCATCCAAATGATATCAATAAAACTTACTTGTTGTTGACATTTTGGACAAGTAAATTGATTATTATTAATTAATTTATCTCGAATACAATTTAAACAATATGTATGTGTACATGGTAATACTCGAGGATCTTTATATTCACCATTACAAATTGGACAAGCATGTACAGTTTCTTTATGTATAGGTGCTGGTGCTGCACTACGTACATTGACACCAAGTCCACCATTATTACCGATATTATTTTTATTACTCATAGTATTTGAAGAATGATTTAATGAAGAAGTTTTTGATTGTCCACCAGTACCGTTATTATAACGTGGTATTGAATAGTTAGTTGCAACACGAGACATTTTATCTTTTTATTCTTATACTGAGATTTATCGATAGTAAATTATATTCATTCGTTTAATGTTTTAAATACTAACGACGGATAATTTTATTATTTGTTGCTCTCTATCAAATATATATATATATATATTTACATCTAAAAGAAAGAGAAAAAGACGAAAAATGTATATTGATCACTTCTAGACGACAACGAAAGAGAGAGAAAAAAAAATGTTTGACATTTCGTTTCTTTCTCTTCAAAATAATGCATCGTCAATTTCTTTGACAATACATAGCATTTACTGTTAAATAAACGCATTCCTATCATTTATTTTACTACTCCCTCTCTTGCAATTTACATACATTCACTTAATAAAAACAACTGAGAAATATGTTTGTCATCATTTATATATTACTATATTATTATTAAGATTTCAAAATAGTATCAAAAATTTTCTGTCATTTTTCTTTTTCTTCTGCGATTGTAAAAGTTATAACAAGAGACACATCATGTTCTGTTGAATGTTAAATATTTTAATCGAAACCCTCCCGGCAAACAGACAGAATAGTTAAAAAAAACGCGACGAAGACTAAAAAAAAAGCTTACTACGATGTATTTCGAACCACTCAATGTGAGTGTATGTATAAATAAATAGGTGAATGGGTATAGAATGTCTGTTGCTCACCACTTTTAAGTGCTACGTATCCATTCTACTAACTGATGATTTTTTTTTTTTTACTTTTATTAACGCCAATAGTGTCAAAAAAAGAAAAAGAAAGAACGATTGCGTTTTGTGACATAAAAAAGAAATACGTAAGTGTGAATATTTCTTTCTTTTTCTCTAAAATATAAATCAATGAAAAAAATATGTAAACAAAAAAAAAAAAAGAAAAACCAAGAGAATAGATTTATATGTATGGTTAATGGAAAGATATCAAATGAACGAAGCACGCATTCAATTAGATAATTAAATAGAAGTAAGACGAAAGATTTGATAGCCCACCTCAAGGATTAGTCTAGGATTCATAATTGAACAATATAGAAAAAGAACGAGAGTCATTCTAATTGCTCTTCACTCTCATTTTTCTACGTGTTTCGAAATGTTAGTTGTGGGATTAAAGCAACAAGAAGGAGGAGACTAATTTTCTTTACTCTTTGTCTTACTTATTTTCTCGCTGTTTTATTCTTCATGTTCAATGTGACCCTTTTTTTTTTTTATTGTTCTCTCTCTTTTCGAACCAATACGTGAATATGTATATACTTTTCTCGTCGTCGTACGATATACATGAGCTTAAAAGCAACAAAAGCTCTCTTATATTCTCTCAAGCAAACAAAGGTGAAGAGAAGAGACAACATCACGTCGTTGTCAAACGATGTTTTACTGCTTAATAGTCGTTAAGATATAACGAATGAGAGAATAGTAGATGTATTAATATAACATCGAAAAACAAGCCTTAATTATACTTATTTTTCTTTTTTTTTTGTTCAAACTAAGGTTTCATTTATAATATTTTACTGTAAACATGAAACGAAAGACAAAAAAACAAAAAAAAAAATCATATTGTGTATGGGAAAAAAAAGTGATTACTGAATTGTGCTATGTATTAAATCAATATGAGAATGAGATTATATATATATATGCGTATGTGAAGGTAATTTATACAATCTATTTGTCTATGAGGATTAACAATTAATGATTTCAGTATACTAAACAAGGTTATTATATGGTAATAAAAATATCTTTTTCAACAAAAAGACAAAATGTTATATATAGTTACATATAGATGATATTTCAATTTATCTTTCTATTGTTAAATTTTCATGAAGGATATCATAAATAGAACAAAACAAAAAAAAAAAGGTCATAAATGAAAATTGTTTAATATAGCGAGAGAAAAAAAATTTGAATAATGTTCTTTAAGAATAGATTGTAATTTGATATTAAATTCTAGTCAAGAAAAGTATTTTATAGCCAGACAAGAAGGTGTGAATTTCGATATTGACATGCGATGATTGAAGAGGACTTTAAAGTGGAATAACAAATAAATATAAGACTGGTGAGATTCAGACTTCTTTTTAACTCAATTCAATATTTTCTATATTGATCGTCATTCTTATTATACTTGCTTAACTCAATCTATATTCTGTCTTGCTTACTTCTTATTAGTTTCACAAAATTTTCCAATGACATCTATTGTATATGAATAAAAGTGCTTAGGTTATTGTTTTATTTTAAATTATAATATACTTTCAGAGTAAACTAAATTTCAGTAATCTCTAATGTCTATATAATTAAATTGTATTATCTAACAAGAATCTAAATATTTAGTGTGAATACTCAATAATAATTATTATTAGCTGTTGCGGTATTTTTTTTAAAAACTGCGCATGTTGTTATTTTTGTCGAAAAAAACAAGTTTGTCAGTCAAATGTTTTCTATGAATTATTGAATGGCATATCTTCGTCTTTTAATAGTTTTTTTTTTTCAAAATATAAATCTAAAAAATATTTATAGAACAATAATTTGATGAAATATATTTCATTAATTTCATTACATTTCTAAGGTATCGATTATCTAAACAAAAACGTAAAAGAGAAACGAACAATACTTGAATCAATCAGAAAATAAATTTTGATTGGACAATTGTTCTTCGTTCCAGAAACCACAAAAAAAAGAATATAAGTTTATACTGCTTCACATGGATCCTGGATAAATGTTTTCTCTATTATTGAACTCAATACAATACATAAATAAACTCATTACTAAAAGAAAAAAAAAAAAATTAAAACTAGCAAAAGAAAAATTTTTGTTTTTATTAAAGTTTATTATAAACGTTGACGAACAATTTTATAAATAGCTGCGGTATATTCAATTATTAATGGTACACAACTACATATAGCAAATATTGGCCAAATACGTAAAGCACATTGATGTTGTAGAAGAAAAAATACGAGACCAATAGCAGCAGATACATGAATTACTATTGCTTTAAATAAAACGAAATAAGTTATTTACACTATTGGCAAAGAAATATGCATCACTAGTCCATAGGTCTTAGCCCCAATGAGAACTGAACGTCTAAAAATTCGTCTACAACTAGTTCATATTAAAGCATAGTAATGTCTAATAATTGTCCATCAATCTGAAAAACATAATGCTATGCTTATGTTTCATAATTCATTATAAAATTCCCATCGAAAATTCTCTATAAATCTAGAATTGAATGATTTCTGTTGTTCCACAAAATTCTAAAGCTATGTAAAACTATTTTCTCAGTAAGATATTGACAAATCAAAACATTTTCTAACTTGGATCGAAGAGTAGCAAAAAATGAATTTTCTAAATGATGTCCTATTTATCAATCATTTATTAGCGAATTATAGTCCAATTCATAGTCCTTCAGTTATTCAAAAAATGAGCACATTTATTTACATAAATGAGAATTCCAAAATTTTGACAAGTTCATGATGTACCATGTCTGCTTAGTAAGGTGTTTTCTTCCCAAAATTTTCAAAATACAGTCATCACTCATAGAAGAACATCTCCTAAAATTATCACATAGATTTATTAAACTCTCGCTGAGTTATTCACTTCTATAGTTTTCTTTTGCATACTCAAGTTTCCAGTAAAACCGATCTAATTCATCAATAGTTTTATGAACATCAATAGAGTTTATACAAGAAATAATTATCACGCAGGGTTACTAAATCAAGGATTAGTCGACTAAAAGAACCTTTCTGTTCTTGAGTAACACGATTCATAGTGATCATAGACGCTATCTATTATAACTCCATTCTAGTTCAAATAATTTTGACATTGATATATAGTTTTCAGACGTTCAGCTCTTATTGAAGTTAACGAGGCGACCTCTACAGCTGTCTTCTTCCAACTTCAATGGTTGTTGTCTATAGATGCCACATAGTATTCTAATAAAAATCTTAAAAGAATTCGGATTCCACTAAGCTATCAAATCTCGGCCTAAGACTCAAGTAGACTAGTTTCCACAAAAAAAAACTCAGAAGTTTTCAACATACTCTTCTCTTTGAGATATGAAGCATTCTGTATACACTCTTCATAGAAAAGGATCTACATCTTGAAAGTTTCATACCCCTTGAAGAGAAACTTCTGAATTCTTTTTTATGGAAATTAGTCTAGTTGAGTTCTGTGTATACGCAAAGTTGAAGATCAAAATTTGATAGATTAGTTAGATATCAATAGGAATTCAAATCCTTTTAGAACACTATGAAAAAAAAAAAGAATCATTGACATCGGAAGAAGACATACTTTCGACCAGTAGTGTATGTCATGTTTATTTGACATACCTAAAAATGAACGAGCAAAACTTATTGATGTTATTCCGAGAATTAATGGTACAAGTTCAATTACACAAAACGCAATTGATAAAGAATGTGCAGCAAATAATCTAAATAAAAAAAAAAAGAACGATAAAAAAAAACCAAAAAAAGAAAATTTTTCCTCAGTTTTACTGATTTCGATAAGAATTATATGATCCATTATCATTACAACCATAGACATTACGTTCCTTAAAAAAAAAGAAAAATATTTTTCAAAAAATTTAATTATTTATAACCTACCCAACTCCAAAAACAGAGTGCAATTGCAAGTAAATGAAGAACATGTGAAATGAAGCGTGCAGAAATAATTCGTAAATACATTTTTAAGATCAAAATAATATTCAATCTTCAAATGTATAGATTATTTTGAACGGTCAGTCAAGTAACCATAATTAACTATCGTTACTTGACAACAGCCATTGTCATAAATTTTGTTTTAAATGAAAATAAATTCTTAATCGATTTATAATATTCAAATAATAAAAATTCTTGTTTTTTCTTTCTAATAAATATTATAAATAAAACTTGTCAATCAATTAATTGGCTTATTAGAACACCAATCAAAAAATCTTTGTGTTTCTTAGACATTGTCAACATTATTCATCATAGGTACTCAAGGATTATGGCAGATTTAAGGCCGATTATACCAAGTTGTATGTATAAAAT